AGAGTGAGACTCCACCTCAAAAAAAAAAAAAAAGAAAATAATCATAAGTTGAAAATGGGTGTTTTATAGACAAGATGGAATGTGAAAATACAAAACACGATATCCATAACATACTGGCAACACCGACACTGTCGAGTGTTGGTTCTTTCCCCCTGTGATTGTGGGGCTGAGTGGGAGCTACAGTCATTGCTGCTTATTACTCAGCATCATGAAATAGTATCATCCTACATATTACTAGACTGGTAAAATACCAGAATTTAAAATTGGAAGTACAATTTCTATTGAATGTGTATCACTTTCACACCATCATAAAGTTGAAAAATTGTAAGTCTGTATTTATGACAAACAACTGTATTCTCTAAAACCTCTGTTACTTGTGAAATAGTTCAGATAAAAAACAGAGAGAGCTGTGAAATTAGGCCAGCTTAGGAAAAAAATCTTTACTTCTCCCTTATTACATCCCCTTCTTTCTCCCCTAGAATGCAATGATTATCACTCCCATGTGTTGTTTTATTCTCTTACTCCATATGAGAGCTTCCCAAACAAAATATACCATAGTATTGCTTTATATATTTCACTACACACACACACGCGTGCATGCGCACACACACACACACATACACACACACACACTCCTGATTCTTATAGTCAAGGAAGCATTGTGAGGAGTTCAAGGGGAGACCTTCCTCAAGATCCAAGCATGGTATTTGGTGCACCATCCACAATGTTGATGTTTGCTTCCTTCCCATTCCCACTCTTCTGATCTTTAACAGGGAGGTTGTTACTTAACCTTGGTGGTATCACTGTATTTTAGTGAATATTTGGGAATGTAAGAAGAAGGAAACCACACACACTCATCTATGTCACATAGGAAGTTCAGTGCCATATCTGCTCTATGCAGGGCAATGGAGCTGGGTAGGGAAAGAGTCTTCATCCTTTTCTGTTGTGTGACCCTGTAGTGAAACTGACCTTGCTCATCTATAAAATTGGCATGTTGATATTTACCTCAGAAAGCTGTAATGAGAAATGAACAAAACTATAAAGCATCTGATACGTAATACTTTAATGAATATATGCTTGATCTCTCCTGTGTTCTCTTTCCCACAAAAAACTTAAACATGAGCATCTCACAGAGATTCTTTGAATTTGAAACATTGGGAAAGGAAATGTATTCATATTTATATGATGTGCAACATTTGATGTCATTTCTTTATAGAATGATATACGTGAGGATGGTGGAAGTGAGGAGTCAAATCATTACCTTGTAAGTTTTTATTTGATGTGCCCTTCTCTTCTTTTTTTACCTACCATTGACACTGGAATAGGATCCTTCATTTGAACTCCAGAAAGGAGATAGCACAGAATAACAGAGCATAAAGATGGGTCTGTTGTACAACAGACTGAATTCAGGAGACCTGGGTCTCAAACACCAGATCCTTCCTTGTCTACAGAACCATGGGGAGTCACTTCCCCTGAGCTGGTCTCAGCCCTTACATAGAAAAAGATGATATATCTCAATGATTAGGGATGGTGATTTGGGAGTCAGAGTTTGGTTTGAATTTCAAGTCATTTAATATATCTAGACATGCTGTCTGGAAAAGCTTGCATGTCTAGATATATGAGACCTTCTTGCAATTAATATACAGTATAGATGCACGAATAGAGGCTATAATGGAGGGAATACACAAGCATGATGTTCTTAGGTTAATAAGTAGTAGGATTGCTGATTAATTATGTATCTCTGGACTTGACTATATTTTTCCCAATTTAATACAAATCATCTTAAAAATCAAAATTACAGTAACCGGGCTTGGTGGCTCAGCCTGTAATCCCATGCCTTTGGGAGGCTGAGGTGAGTGGATTGCCTGAGCCCACGGGTTCGAGACCCGCCTGGGCAGCGAGACCTCATCTCTACAATAAATCAAAAAATCAGCCGGGTGTGGTAGCGCATGCCTGTAATTCTGGATACTTGGAAGGCTGAGGCGGAAGGATTGCCGGAGCCCAGCAGGTCGAGGCTGCGGTGGCCGGGAGCGGCCACTGCACTCCAGTCTGGGCGACAGAGTGAGACTCCAACTCAAAAAAAAAAGAAAATCAAAATTACATATCATAGAAACATTTTTTGTTACAAAATGTTTTAGACATAGACTTATAAAAATAATATAACATGCTTTTATATGCTCGTGTTAAGAAATAAAACTTTAGGCTGCGTGCGGTGGCTCAAGCCTGTAATCCAAGCACCTTGGGAGGCCTGGAAAGGAGAATGGCTTGAGCTAAGGAGTTCAAGACCAGCCCAGGCAATGTAGCGAGACCTCGTCTCTACAAAAACAAACAAAAAAAGCTAGGTATGGTGGGACATGCCTGTAGTCCTAGCTACTTGGGAGGCTTAGGAGGAAGGATCACCTGAGCCCAGGAGGTTGAGGCTGCAGTGAACTGTGATTATGCCACTGCTCTGCAGCCTGGGCAACAGAGTGATCTCAACTCAAGAAAAAAAAAATAAAAATAAAAATAAACTTTGCTTATACACTTGAAATTCAGTCTTTTCTGATTGCATTAGCCTCCTTACATGGGGCTTATCACTAACATGAATTTGGACTTTTCATTGTTAGTATATTTCTTTATGCTTTTATTACATATGTATATATCTCTGTGAAATATGGTGTCATTTTTTTTGCGTGTTTCATCTGTAGTTGTCTGGCTATCTGATGGAAAAGAAAAAGGAAGAAACATGAGAAGAACAAATACCCATTCACATCTCAACAGTGTGATCTGTCATGAAGCCTTCTTATATGTGTGCTTTCTGAGCTGCTTGAATAAACACATCTATTTCCCCAGTTTATATGCTATAGAGAGCACAAACATTTTCAGTCATTTAAAAAATGTGATGTGTTCAAATTTAGAGTTTCCCAGGTGCCAGCTAGCCCAAAATAATGTTGCAGTGTATCTTTTTTCTTTTTAAGAGACAAGGTCTTTTTATGTTGCCCAGGCTAGAGTACAGTGATTATTCACAGTCGAGATTCTAGCGCACCACAGCTCCTGGGCTCAAGCGATCCTCTTTGTTCAGCCTCCTGAATGAGAAGTTGGGACTTGTAGTGTATCTTGAACCTGAAATATCTTCCCATTATCTAGGGCTAATTTCCCATCTTTTATTCATGCTATTATTCATGCACACCTGTAAATCTGGGACTAGTCTGGGTATTCTCGGTGAAAAAAAGACTGTGTGCATGCCTGTAGTCCCAGCTCCTTGGAAGGCTGAGGCGGAAGGATCGCCAGAGCCCAGCAGGTCAATGCTGGGGTGGCCATGAGTGCCACTGCACTCCAGCCTGGGTGACAGAGTGACTCCAACTCACAAAAAAAGGAAATGGTCACATCATTCTCCTGCTATTGTGGCCCCACAGTTCCCTACTCCACAGCCCCGCCGGGTGATGAAGATGGTTGAAGAGGTGAAATCCCGCCCTTTGTGCTGAGAGACCTGGGTGTAGGGCCACAGGAGCTGGCTGAACCCTGAAGCGGTGAGTGTGCTCAGGCAGAAGCCCAGGTGTTGTCCTTGGGACAGGTAAGCTGCAGGGAAGGAAGGTAACATGCCCTGAATACTTTCAGCAAATGCACTTGATGTTTCATCTCCTTTGATCCTAATAGCCATTCAAGGTACCCATAATTATGACCATTGTTTAGTTCAGGGTACATTAAGAGGGCTCTCTATCTACAGCTCACTGTGAATTATTCTAAAGTTTTTCTATTTGTCCTAATGTCTTCTGGGTGCTGAATGATCTAATCTCCCTGGGGGCTGCTATTATAAGTTTCCAAGGCAATGTCCAACTTAAAAAACTATTATCTGTAGTGTTTTTGATACATAATATTTATACATATTTATAAGGTACATATGATCGGTAAGCTTTTAAATTACAATATTTTTGAAATTGAAAAAGCATTTCTAAATTTAAAAACACCAACAATTATCTGAAAACTCTGGAGAAAATATTTGGAAACCACATCTCATATATTAGGTTAGTATCCATGATTTGTGAAACACACAAGCTGGGCTTGGTGGCTCAGCCTATAATTCTAGCACTTTAGTAGGCTGAGGCGAATGGATTCCCTGAGTCTGCGGGTTCAAGACCAGCCCAGGCAACTTGGTGAGACCTTGTCTCTACAATAAATAGAAAATTAGTCGGGTGTGGTAGTGCATGCCTGTAGTTCCGGCTACTTGGAAGGTTGAGGCAGAAGGATTGCCAGAGCCCAGCAGGTCGATACTGGGGTGGTTGTGAGTGTGCCACTGCACTCCAGCCTGGACGATGGAGTGAGACTTCCAACTCAAAAACAAAAACAAAAACACAAAGAAATTGACAAATAATTAAATGGAAATTCACATAAAAATATACACGAACAATAAAAATGGTAAAATATACCAGAACTAATAAGATTCACAAATTTAAAAATCTGGAGAAGTGGAGAAGACAATTTCTAACAGAAGATGAAGACTGATTGTACTTTTGGAGAAAGTGTCTGTGTAGATGAACATAGTGCGTGTGTCTCTTACCAAAGGGACACGTCTGGAGAGTGTGCACCATTCTATGGACAGCAGCAGACCCCTTGGGTCAGGGGGTAGGAGTCCGGCCAGTGGGAGATGCAGATTAATTTCAATTCATAAATGTACTTTCATACATTGTTTGAAATTTTGTATTCAGGAAAAAAGCATTTTCATAATGCTTGTGAACGGATTGACAAAAGTGCAATGTATTCATTAATTTGAAAATGCATTCATTGTATTCAATTTCATAGTGAAACAAAAATTGATATAGTATCTGCATGTGTGTCTGTGTGTGTGCACGTGCACGTGTGTGTTTCTGTCTCCTCAAGTCCTTGCACTCAAATAAACACGGATGCAGCTTTACCTTCAATCTCATTTTTTGATATCCCAGAAAATGGTGGATACAGAGAGATTGCTACCATGAGCTGAACAATTCTGGAAAACTGATACCTTCTTGAAGCCAAGCTCCTAACCTCCATCCTCTCCCTTGCTGAGCCCTGGTCTGAAATGCTCACAGCTGCAGTCGGGCTCTGACCACCAGGTAACATGCATCTCCTTTTTTCTTTTTTAATAACATGGAGTACCTATTGTAAAGAGCAACAAGGGACTTAAAAACGGTTTGCTTACTATGATAATTCTGTGTGAAAAATTCGTAATTGCATTATGTTGACTCCAAATCTACACCAGAGACCTGGATGTTCACCCGCCATTACCTACCCCTATACTGGTCTCCCAAGTCTTCTCCCACCCCCTCTCAGTCATCCCTTCTCCAGGACACTGTGGACACAGCTGCCCAGACCACGCTTGGGTGCCACCAACCTCTCTGTCACCCCCAGCCTCCCCTGTCCTGCCTTATGCCTACTGGTGACTCCCCAAATGCCCTAGAGCTACCTGGAGTTTTGTTGTATGGATGCCCTGAGCATATGTATTTAGTCTTCTTTACACCTGTCAGTTTTTTCAGACAGAATTACTCTGTACATAGGTTAATGTTGATTTGGTGGGCTTTAAGAAAGGTGTATATATATATATATATATATATATATATACACCTTTCTTAAAGATACATATATATTTTGAGTTGGAGCCTCACTCTGTCGCCCAGGCTGGACTGCAGCAGCATGCTCACGCCCACTGCAGCGTCGACCTGCTAGGCTTAGGTGATCCTTTCGCTTCAGCTTTCCAAGTAACTAGAACTACTGGCGCGCGCTGCCATGCCCAGCTTGATTTTACTGTGGAGACGAGGTCTCCCCAAGTTGCCCAGACTGATATGGAATCCCTGGGCTCAGGCAATCCTTTCGTCTCGGCCTCTCACATTTCTGGGATTGCAGGCTGAGCCACTGCGCCCAACTGATATTATTATTATTATTATTTATACTCCTTGAAGACATCATTGTTTGATGATGGTGCGATGGTGGCCCCTCGTGACAGAATCCTGAACTGCAGCTTGAACATCGCTGAGCAGCAAAATCGGAGGGCGGGGCTGTGGCCCAAGCTCATCCTACAGAGATTTCTGGAAGTCTGGGTGGAAAGGGAGGCATTCTCAGGGCTCAGGGATACAGAAGGCTACCAGACAGACAGTTCACCTCTCAGTATGTTAAAGAGAGAGCTCTATATTTGAGAAATAAAAAGATCATTTTTATTTTTATGCTTTGAGGCCTATTGATATAGTGATGGACCAATGCACGCAAAAATGGATGCAGGCTACTTATGATTTTTGTAACCTGCAGTTTTCCTTATTATGACCATCTTTCAAATTCAATTTGAATTTTTCATATGAACCTGGTATTTCATCATATTATGCCCTAAACTTAATTTCCCTAGTACCCTAGTGGTGAAAACGTAGTTCGCTTACCATAGTTTCTATTACAGAAAGTAGTATACTTAATACCCAGCTCGTATGTATGCAAATATCTTTTTAAGCATTTTAAACCATTTTCTTCATAAGTTCCTAAAGTGTCCTTTCAAAACTCTGAAAAACTATAATATTAATGAATTAAAAATATTAATTTACATTCCTAATGTAACCCCAGAATCAGTTCAATCTCGTTCACTTTTGTAAGTAACAAAATGTAACAAACTGATGAGTTGTTTTTCAGTTGCAAGGGACACCTAGGTTGCAAGTTACATAAAATGAGGGTGCCCAGGTGAGCCAAGCCTGCCTGATTGGTGACCCTGGACTTGGCTGAAATGAAAAACTCAACCACATGTGGAGCCCAAGTACTCAGAAAGAGGAACAGGGACTAATTTAAGAAGAGACAGGGTGTCCTGTTTTGTTACAGTACCACCTTAAATGCCAAGGACCCAACACTGCTTCTTTGCATGACCCAATCAACTCATGCCTCTTTGCATTTTCCTGACTCCCGCATAGTAACTTTCTGCCTATAAAACCTGCCTCCAGACCCCAGCTTCTGGAGACATATTTGAGTGTTACCTCCTGTCTCCTTGCCAGTTAACCTTGCAATAAGACTTTTTCTTTCCTCAAAAGCTGGTGCCATAGTACTGGCTTCCATGCACATCGGGGAGTGAGTCCATTGATAGGTAACTCTAATATCACAGTATGAAAAGTACCTGTTTATATCACATAAGAAAAATGGGAATGGTAGCTAATCTGAGAGGCAAAGAATCTCATCGTTGTCTTCATTATAACTTATTTTGTTTCCTACCTAGAATTCCATCCTGTGGTTGTGACATAATCAATTTTCATCGTGTTATTCAGAGAGTTCTGGCATTCCCTGTTATCAACACTATATGGATGGCATCTTTCAGAGTCTATGCTCTGCTGAAGGGTGCATTTCAGGGTACAGGTTATGTGTCTATTTGCACTGGTAAGCAGAAAGTGTTTTCTTGGAACCCAGCATTTGGTCTCCCTTCCTAAGGGAGAGGTCTATATTTCCCTTCCTTCTAAATTCCTTGTCAGATAACTTTTGTTCTCAGCCTGAATTTAGGAAGGATCCTAGTCCCATGAACTAAGGTCTCTTCCTTCTAAATTCCTAAGGATCCTAGTCCCATGACCTAATCACCCCCCAAAGGCCCCAACCCTAACTCTTCATGGGTTTGCATTCCATTTGGTCACAGCTAAATGTCACAGCTTTTGGTGTCAAATGTTCCAGAGAACAAAGTGAGAGTTTGTCTTTTATAGAAAAAATTCTTACCTAGGTTTCTACTCAGGTCTGCTTATGCAAATAAAAGATTCAAACTTGCTAAGTTCTTACTGGTCAGTGTAGGTCACAGCCTATTGGTTGGTTCAGGTAGCATAAACAGAAACACGCAGCTATGAAATTCTCAAAGTTAAGCAGATATGTGGGTTATTATGGGAACTTGAAGTAAAAAGTATTGTGTGACCTCTAGTCAGTAAATTGTTCCTTGGCTCTTATTGAATTTGGCCCAGTTAGGAACTCAGGATTTATCTTGAGAGATTGACTCTTTCAAGGTTCACAAGGCCCAGAAGCAAAGGAAGGGAATTATCAGGAGGGGAGTCCTTATAACCAGATTCTTACCCACAGCCTTCATTATATCCCAAAGATAAGCTCGTACAAGGAAAATTGTTGGTGCAAAAGGTGTGCATCTGTGTAGCTCTTTGATAAGTATTATCATATTGACACTCAGATAAGTAGTGCCGCTTAGGCTCCCCAAGTGGAGTCATGTGAGAAAACCCACAGGGGTGTGAAGAAACTAATAATGCTGACATCCTGTCACAGAGTGAAGGTTCTGGACTTTGTTGTGAACCCATTCTCAAGCCACTGCCCTAGTTGGAAGATGTGGAAATGATCAGACATAAATCGAATTTTACACAGAAGTGAAACTTGAAGTAACATGTGGGTTGGGAATAGGAAGGGAAGGTTTCATGATAAAGAATTACCAGGGCCAGGATGCAGCTACAGTTTTATATACATTCATCTTTATGTAAAACATATAAATCACAGCCTTTGTATGAAAAAGTTTGGTCATTACTGTGGTACAACAAAAGATTAGGGCAATAACTATGTATATATGTTTTTAGATTGGAAAATATACTTTATTTAGAAAGTAAATTGGAGAGAGAGAGAGAGAGAGAGAGAGAGAGAGAGAGGAGATTCACCTTACCAAGGCAGGGGAAGTGGTCAAAGGTAATAAACAAGGCAGCCATAGCTCAAAGAGCCACATGGACACGTCAGAGTTTAACAAAGCAGTGGCCGCAATGCCATATTTAACAGTTTTATTGTACTATAATTTACAGGCAATGAAATGTATGCATTTTAAAAGTGTAATTTATAACTTTCAGAAAATATATAGAGTTGTGCAACCATTTCCATAACAGAGATGTTTTGTTTTGTTTTGTTTTGTTTTGAGTTGGAGTCTCACTCTGTCACCCAGGCTGGAGTGCACTGGTGTACTCACGGTACTGGGCTCTGGCGATCCTTCTGTCTCAGCCTTCCAAGTAGCCGGAACTACAGGTGCGCTACCACACCCAGCTAATTTTTTATTTATTGAAGAGACGAGGTCTCACCAAGTTGCCTGGGTTGGTCTCGAACCCATGGGCTCAGGCAGTCCACTTGCCTTTGCCTCCCAAAGTGCTGGGATTACAGGCTGATCCATCGAGCCCAGCCCATGATTGAGTTTTAAATGTTTCCATTACACTAAGATATCCCATCATGCTTGAATGCAATTCATCCCTGTGCCACCTCCAGCCTTAGACAATCACAGATATTCTTTTTGTCTCTGTGAATTTGTCTGTTCAGGACATTTTATATAAAAGGACTCATACACTATTTGGTCTTTTGAATTTGGCTTATTTTACGTTACATCATGTTTTCAAGGTTCACCATTGTTGCAGCATATATTATACTTAATTCCTTTTTATTGCTGGATAATACAACACACTTTATCCATTTATCAATTGATAGGCATTTGGGTTGTTTTCACTCTTTAGCTATTATGAATGATGATTTTGTGTACATTTGGGTTCAAGTATTTATGTAGACATATGTTTTTATTTATTTTGGCTATGTACCTAGGAGTGGAATTGCTGGGTCATATGGTAACTCCTTGTTAACCACTTGAGGAATGGCCAGACTATTTTAATAATATGTTGTTTTTCTCATGTTTAGACTATGGTTATGAGTTTTCAGAAGAAATATCACAGAGTTGAAGTTCCCTTCTTATCACATCATATCTGGGTTTACATGATACCCATATGACGTCACTGGTGATGTTAACCTTCATCACTTGGTTAAGGTGCTGTTTGCCAAGTCTCTCCAGTGTACAGTACCTATTTTACTTCTCTATACTCTCTTCTTTAGAAGTGAGTCACGAAGTCAGTCCTGCCCTTATGGGGTAGAGGACAGAATTGAACTTCACTTCATGAAGTATTAGAATTATTTGATCAAGACAGTTTGTCTTCTCTAACCCATTTCTTGATCAATTCAAACATTTATTTATATCAGTAGGGATTCATATGCACTTATCCTATAGCCTTTTGTGGTCCTGTTCCTCTGCCAGGACAATCTCACCTGCAGTTTTCTCCATATCCACTTTTACCTTCAGACCATACAGCCTTTTAAG